TTTTCTCTCTTTCAACAAAACATGATATACAATTAAATTCTTTTGTATTTATAAATAAATTTAATTTTTTTGCTAACTAATATCCGTAATACTTTGACATTACTGTGTCAAAGTCGTTAATTTCAGTTTGATTAAATTTTAATAAGAGTGTTATTAAAAAAAATATATATGGAAAAAAACGAGGACAAACTTTGTTTTTGTTTTATTGAAATAAAGCTTTGTTTATCTTCGGAGAGAGGTAAAATTTTTACCTGCGCTCATCGAATTTTCATTAAACCACATAAATACGGACAACTATAAATAGCCATGAAGGAGAGTGCGCTAATCGATAGTTTGGTGAACTGAACACATTATTATGCCAACGAACTTTTTTTTGTACATAGTTTGGTGAGCAAAAATAAAAAACACAAAATGAAGAAAAACAAACAAAGCAAATATTTGCAAAGTCAAACTATTCATCATTTGGAGTTTATTTAACTCTGTTCCCAGAAAGAAAACCGTCATGTAAAACTTACTTAACTTGAGTAAACTTTTTACCATACTTGGAAATTTAAAAGAAAATAATTGTAGGGCAAAATCCACTCTTGTAAATAAGTAAATAAAAAATTAATAATAAAAATAATTTAAATGACAATAACGATGATAATAGTAATAATAATAATAATATGGAAATAATAGTAACAATAAAATACAAATAATAAATTAAATATTAATATAATGTAATTAATAAGGTAGAGTGGGGTGAAAAAGCCATTTGAGTTTTATTTAAAAACTATTAATCCGATTTATCAGCTGTTTAGAATATAAATACTATTAGGTAATACGCAACTTTTGAATCTAGTTTGAATGTTGTACATAGATTAATATTGTTTTATTGTAATTTTAATTTTTTGTTGCTTTTTTGAAAACATTTTGGTGAACTTTTTAAACATATTACAATCTGATTAAGTGAACGAATAATAAAAGTAAATGTTTGTACATAAAGAGAAAAGTATACCGAAAACGTATACAATGTTAATTTTTGGAAATTGAACTGAATTAAAAATTTATTTTTGCTTTTTTAATAACTGGTCTTGGGTGTAAAAAAGCCAGGGCAAAAAATTCATTGAATATTTTGTGAAATTCACTTGTTTTCTATTTAAACTAACCTTCTTATTTTACAAAATTTCTCGTGTTTATTTAATAAAATTAATTAAACACGACGAAAAAGTAGTTCAAAGTGCATTAAAAAAATAAACAATGAATAAACGGTTGCAACGAAATATGTTATCTGTGGTAAAACTTAAAGAGAACTTCTAAAAAAGGAACGAAAAATTGGCAGTGCAAATTGAAAACAGGTAAACTTAATATAATTTTCAATTTTGCTTGCTAAAAACTCTTTCATAATTATTAAAATATTTTTCAAATAAGACTATTTATGTCACTCGATGTCATATAAATAAAGGAAAACTATAAAAATACCTAAATTGATAACATGTTTTGCAAAAATCGTAGGGTGACTTTTTCACCCCACCAGGTGGTACAAAAAAGCCACTTACAGTGCTTTCGTAAAACTCTTATAACTTAGTCCTTTCATGAGATAAAAAATATTTCCGTCAAGAATTTTCAAGCTTAATAACTAAACTTTCAATAACAATTGGAAATTTGAGAAAAAAATTTTAAATACAGATTTTACAGTATCAAAAGTATAAAAATGTGGCTTTTTTACCCCACTCTACCCTAATAAAAAAAATGTTATTGATAAGAATAATAAAAGAAAACTAATAAAGTAGTAAAAAAAAAATTAAAATAAAAAAGGAATAATAAAAAGTTCAATCAGCGTATTTTTAGATGAGCAGAAAAAAACAAACATTTAGTTTCTATATAAAAATTGGAAGCGATATACTTAAAAGCATTTTTACGCAAAACGTATAAACTTTATTTTTAATATTTTCAGTTTGTCGATACGTTATTACGTATAAATATAGATTACAGTGTACATATGTATTTTTAATTGAGAAATTTCTATTAGTTTTGGTAATTTTATTACTATTTACGTTTATCCTACTAATAGTCAATAAATAAAATATTTTTCTTTTTTCTTTTCTAATTGTGCGTTATTTCGTGAGAAATATAATATTGAAATAAAAGGAAAAATAATTATAGGGTGTGAAATTAATCCGAATTATTTTTCTAACTTAAAAGTATAAATATAAGGTGGATTTCAATTTTTTTCTTTTTGTAGATTATAAAATTGGATACTGATTAATCACTGAAATTAATTTCTTTTATTCGCAAATTCTTTAAGTACTATTTAAAATTCCACCGGTATTTAATATTTCTTAGATCACTCGATTTCCTCAGCGGATTTTGTTTACTTTTGCTCGGAATAGTTCGTCTTACTCAAAATGCACCGATCTAGTAAAATATAGCTGTGGGGTCATCAAGTAACTATTCACATTTAGAAAATAGAATAATTGTACCAATAAAATATTAGTACGATATAATAATTTCTAAATTCGATTAGTTTTCTGATTGTTGGAATTTTTTCTCTTCCATTATTTTACGGATTTATCTTTATTAACACAAACTTTTTCCACTGCTGCACACTTTCTAACCTCCAATTTTTCTATTCGAAATTCTTGCATTGTATGACAATTGAAGGGCTACATAAAATAAGGGGACGAACGCGTGGTTGAAAGGGATAATATCAGTCAGGTAGCAGTGAGCGGCTCAAGGCTTGTCACTGCTACCCGACTGGTAATATCCCTTCCAAGCCTCGCGTTCGTCCCCTTATTTTATGTAGCCCTTCAATTGACATACATGCCAACGCCATGCCAATGAAGTATAGAATGACATTAACCTTTAAAGTGCTAAGTGTTGAAAAATCACGCTCAGTGCTAACCCCGGTCTGTCAGACCGCTATTCCCTTTTGACAGTTTTTTAGTCATTTATAATTTTTAAAAGACAACTATTATAAATATTTTTTACTTTTTAACAAAAAAAGTCATTTCTGTATTATGCATTTATTTATTTTATTTATTTTATAAATGCAGTCTATGAGAACTGTCAGTAGAACTAGTAGCTGCGCGTCAAGTTGCGCAGACGTCACTCATGGGGATATACTGGAATATACTTTCACTTAAAGCTAACCCCGGTCTCACAGACCGCTATACTTCAAATATTTATTTATATTACAAAATTTAACGAATAAAAATTTTTGAAAAAGTTGTCTCCTAACAGATTTTCATAAAATATGAAGCTACTAAAAAGTTCAAGTTCTTATTATACTTTGAAAAAAAGTTACAAGCAAAGAAAATTTTAATAGCGGTCTGTCAGACAGGCATAGCACTTTAAAGGTTAAGTTTGTAGAGTCTTCCTTTTCGACATCGTTTCAATCTCAAAAATAAAAAATATCATCAGGATTGAAAATGACAAAATATAGATAAAAATTAATATTTAAGCCTCAAAGTTACTAAATTTTTAGGTTAGATATACATATTTGTTTATGTTCTCATTAACTGAAAGTATTATTAAAGTTAATAATTCTGATGGATATCAAATATTAATTTTTATCTTTTATCTAATTTTCCAATAAAAAACGAGCAAGGAATTTATTTATTTTAGAATTTCCAATTCTAGGAATAGAGTAGAGATATTCTAACGACAAATTGTTTTAAAAGATAAATATTTACTATTTTAACTAAAATTCACTCACCCTGCAAAGTTCCAAATTTCCTGCTTTCGTCATTCTCTTTGACTAATTTGCCTTAGATCCACATACCAAACTGTCAGTTCCACAAATGTGAAATTTAGACTGCTTAAAGCAGGTAAACATTCTCCCTAATGATGACGCGACTCACTGACACCTATAGTGTTATCAGAAATACCTCGATAGATGGCGCGCTAAATAATTGTACACACCATTAAAATAATAGTACGATATAATTTCTAAATGTTAATCGTTTTCTGATTGTTGGAATTTTTTCTCTTCCATTATATTACGATTTATCTTTATTACAACACACTTTTCATTGCTGCGTACTTTCTAACCTCAAAATTTGTCTTGTTTACTTTTGCTCAGAATATTAGTTCGTTTCACCCTAAAATGCGCCGATTCAGTAAAGTACTGCTTGAAGAAATATGTAACATATTTAAAAAAAACTTTAATCTATTACAGTAAAACAATAGTAAACAAATAAATTACAACAATTTTTCAAAATTAAATTTATAAACTAAACTGAGAACCACTGACATTGTTCAGTTTACATTTAACTTCCTAGTTTTGCCCTCTTTTCCTTTTGGACTAAAATATAAACAACTCGCACGAGTGAACAAATAATATGTCTGGAGGGTAAGAACTCGTCCGATGCAGTTAAATGTAAACACTAACAGTGGTTGGCAACCGTCTGCAAACAATTCTCCGTTCTTTTTTTCTTTTTTAATTTTTTTTCTCCCCCTTTTTTTTATAATGTAATTAAATCTCTCAAGGCAAAAACTTTCCTCTACTATCGCATAGTATAACAAAAACAAATATCTCGTTAATTTAATTTTCAGCTGAAATCAAAATTTTGCATTTGTAATTCAATTTTTCCATGAGAGAAATAGGGGAAAAAAAATGTTGCTTTTTTGTAATTATAATTTTTCTTTTGAATATTATTTTTCCAAAGGAAAAAATTTATCATAAAATTCTACCTTTACATTTTTTTTAAATTGAAAATAATTTTAAATATTACGCTAATTAGAATTTTTTATGTTGGATCCTAATTGTAAAAATTCTCCTAGAAAAATCTGCTTTTTGATATTTTCAAAAAATAATTTTGTGATTTTTTAAAAGTAGTGCTAATTTAATGTAAGGATCCTTTTATTAGTGACTGTTTTAAGTGGGTTCCTATTTTAAGGATGCTCTAGAATATTTTAACGTACTTAATTTACGTTTAACGTACTTTAATTTTTCTAAAAATATTTTTTAACATTTTGTTTAGTAAGCAGTGTGTGTAATTTGTCAAAACTTTGTGCAGATGTCGAGTGGAATTGGTGCAACTGCAATGGGGATTGGCGTTAGTCACGGCGCTGGTGAAGGTGTCACAGCTGGGGGATGTCGTCTGAGGGCCCAAAGTCAAGCCTCAGGTTCGGTAGCGCAACAATCGTCGCAGCAGCAGCAACAGTCGCAACTGCAGCAACAACAGGGAGGAGGACAGCAGCAATCGCAACCTCAGCGTCAGGCTCAGGGATTGATGGCTCGCTCTAAGAAGGACAACTGTTGCCTTTGTTGGTGTTGCTGTTGCAGTTGCTCGTGGTATTACCGTTCTTCATTTCTTCTATTAGTGTTTTGTGTCTCAAATGTTTTGTTAGCTTCTACCTTAAGACTTTTGTTTTACGCTTTAGTGAAGCCTTCCTGTAATTCTATTTATCCCTTGGCATACATCATCTTTTCTAACTTTGTCCGTTAGTGAAACCACTTTCCTTTATTGCCTTTTGATGATTTGGGCATTATATGATGATGAGTGCTTCTGTTCTTAGTGACCGTCAGGCTTTTAGCTTCGTAGGTAAGGATCCTGGGGATTCCCCTAAAATTTAGGTGGACAATTGTCATTCTACTGAATTACCCTTAGGACTTTAATTTCGCAACTGAGGATTCTTGGGATTTTGCACAATTTGGATAGACAATTAGTCATTTTACAGAATTACCGTCAAGCTTTTAACTTCCTAGGAAATCTCCTGGGATTTCGTAGAATTTGGTTAGAACAGTAAACATCCTGCGGAATTACTGTCAGACTTTTAATTTTGTATTTGAAGATGCCTAAGATTCCATAGTGTTTACTGAAGCATCCTATTGAATTACCGTCTGGATTTTAACTTCGTAAGTTAAGATTTCTCGGGGTTTTTAGATGACTAATGATCCTACGAAATTACCAGCAGGATTTAAACAGTGCAGATAAAGATCCCTAGAGATTCCGTGATGTCTCCTAAGGAAATTAGTCATCCTACCGAATTACCATCTGGCTCTTAACTTCCTAGGTAAAGATTCTTAAGATTCCGCAGCGTCTTCTAAGGCAAATGACTAATTCTATGACCAATTAGTCATCCTACTGAATTATCCCCTGAGTTTTAAGTTTGTAGGTCGTTATCCTTATAATTCTACAGGGTTTTTAAGATGACTAGTAATCTTACGGAATTACCATCAGCCTTTAAAGATTGTAGGCAGATCCCTAAGGATTCCACAACATCTTCTAAGGAAATTAGTTATCCTACCGAATTACCATCTGGCTCTTAACTTCCTAGGTAAAGATTCTTAAGATTCCGCAGCGTCTTCTAAAGCAAATGACTAATTCTATGACCAATTAGTCATCCTACCGAATTATCGTCTAAGTTTTAACTTCGTAGGTCGTGATTCTTATAATTCCACAGGGTTAGGTGGAATACAGTGTAGGTATAGATCCCTGAAGATTCCGCAATCGTGCCAAATTACCGTCTGGCTTTTAACTTCGTAGGTGTAGATCCTTAACATTCCGTAGCGTCACCTAAATCAACTGATTAATTATGTGACTAATTGGTCATCCTATAGAATTACCGTCTGGGTTTTAACTTTGTAGGTCAAGATCCTTACGATTCCACAGGGTTTTTAGGACTATTAGTAATCTTACGGGAATTATCGTTAGGCTTTAAATATTATAGGTAAAGATCACTAAGAAAATTAGTCATCCTGACGAATTACCGTCTGACGTTAAACTACGAAAATACAGATCCTTATAAATCCACAGGGTTTTTTTTTAAACAATTGTAGTTATTCTACCGAATGACCGTCTGGCTTTTAACTTCGTAGATGAAGATTCTTACGATTTCACAATTCGTGCTAAGGCAAATAGTCATCTTATAAAAATACCGGCAGGCTTTAAACTTCGTGAGTAAAGATCCTTAGAGTTTCGCAGCATTTGCTGAGGCAATCAATCATCCTATGTAGTTAACGTAAGACTTCGAACTTCGTATTTGAAGATCTCTAGGATTCCACATTGTTTGCCAAATAATTCGTCATCTTCAGAATTACCGTCGAGTTTTTAACTTCGTATGTAAATATCCCTTGGACTCCATTTATATAACTGCACCTTACCCATACTTCCAACCGCTTTGGTTGGAACCTCCCCTTCTCGGAATGATAAATGTCAAACATTAAGAATTGTGAAATTTATATTTATTTACTCTTCAATAAACTAATTGTCAAGTTTTATAAAACTTTATCCTCCTTTTCCTCACTCTGTATATCTTTTGATATTTTTATGCAACACCCCCATTCTCTTCGATCCCTTCTGTCATTCTTTCTCCCTCACGCTTTTTCTATTTCAAATTCTCATTTTTTCTCTCTCTCCCACTCTCTTTCTTTCTCTCGTTCGCGTATGACATATTATATTCTCTCTCATGGCATCACTCAACTTCTCTCTTTTTTCCCAACCCGCTCATCCCCATTCCTCTTCTCACCCTATATAACCCCACCCAACGCTCTCGAACTATCGACCTCGCTTGCGCCGCTCTGCACTCGCTTTTACTACGTGAAACGTCCTATTGAATTCGTAGAAAAGTCACGTCAAATGAATTCTTATTCAATTCCGGTGTATTCCATCGAGGAGACCTAGTTGCAATAGTAGTCTATTAAAAAAAAGAGAGAAGATAAAAAAATAATTCTAAAAGCATCCTATATACTCTATAAGCGAATCTCTTAAGTTTCATGAGTTGAATTTGTTACGCTTAAACTGGTCCTGAATTCATGGATAGGAATGTAGGACACTCCAGGGATTTTCCGTTTTTTATTACTAACCAATTTGTGTCATTTTCCTTTCTGAAAAAAATTAAATTCTAAAAAAAAATATTCCATTCTTGTTACAAAAAAAATAATTTTTCTTTTCATGTGAAAAGGAAATTTTTATTTTACAATCTATATAGGCAAAATTGTTTTATTATATGGTAGGAAAAAATACTGTGTGAGAGTATATATATATACAGTAAGAAGATTGCAATCTTTTAACGCATGTAATTTCTAAAAGAGTGTGCAATTTACTGTTCACATACAGACACAAACTCACGGGTGCTTTTCTTTAGTATGTTAACGATTTTCCAGTATACAATTGGGATCTCTTCCATTTGTTTCTTGAAATGTGGAACACTGAATCTCTATATCAGACACATTTTGTTACACAGTTCAATTCAATAGAGAATGAGGATGATTGCAATTCACACACACACACACACACACACACACATATATATATATATATATTTTAATGCGCCTAAAAAAGAATTTTTTTATACAACAAAATGAATTATTTATTATTACTTTTTAGTATTAAAGTATTGATTCTTTATTCAGAATTATTTATTTCATCTTTTAATGTAATTTCATCTCGATGGTAATATTTCAAAAAAGAAATCAAAAATATTACTACGATCTCTTTTTATACTTTACATGGTCCTATTCTATCAATTTAGAAGAGTGCCGTCGAATCCGAATTCGCCCCTGGATTAATCGATTATCTTTTTTCGAATCGTTTATCTCTGCAACCCTAAAGTCTGTATGGCGTGTATTTATGACCTATTTACCATCGGAGATACAAATGTATGCACAATCTTTCATAAATATATAAATACACACATATTAATCTTAAATACAAATCAATTATAGAAAGAGAAAATTAATTTGAAGGAAAAAAAATTAATATTAAATAGAAGTTATTAAATTTTCGAAATTAGAAAAAATCTTCTCTCTGGTGATATATTAGGGTACAATTGATATATTGATTAACAATTATTGTTACATTATGATAATTATTTCCATAGATATTGTAATAATTATTTTTAATTAATATTTTGCATTAACTATTATTATAATTATTATATATGCATATGCAAACCTATATCTGTTCTTTTTTCTGTTTCATGCCGCTAGCAGGAATGAATGGTGAGCAGGACAGTGTATTGCTCGTTGCTTGTTTATATGCTGCTATCGTATTTTATATACATTTGGAAAACGCTGTCGTGCGCATAACACGTGTTTCCCCCACTGAAACCTACTACACTCATCCCGCAACTCCTACCACTTTCATCCCAGAAATTATGTAGAGATTCGATTTTTAGTTTTGGTCGACTAGACGTTCTGTCGTCGATCATATTTTTCCCCTCTGAATCAAATATACATACATTTGTATTTTTTCATGTCTTTTTCAGCTTTTCATGGAATTTTCTTTAGTTATAAAAATATCTAGGAGTTTTTTTTTACTCTAATTCTGTTGAGAGTAATTTGAAAACCATCGGGTTGTCACCATGGTGTAAGAGTTGGTTCCTTTCTGTTACATGTCTTCTTTACTTGTGACGTCCTTTTCCTTTTGTTCTACTAATTATAATGAGCGTCACCAACCCTCTCTACATCCCCCCTTCTCCATTCTGCGTAACCAATCACAGTTATCGTCACTCCTACTTCACGGGTTCAAGAACCAATCACTGGACGATGCTCCCCTCTCTTTTTTACCTCAATCCTTAATAGTTGACAACGCTTTGTTGATTTCAAATACAAACACAGAATGTTTTCCAATAGAAAATTGTTTAACAAAAATTTATTTGTTGAATCCAATTTTGTGAATGTGTTCCTACGCAATGGAACTCGCTTATCAAATTTTCCCAGAACTCACCCTTCCTTAATACAATTCTCATACAACGTGTACCCTTTTAACGTGAAATCCGTTGCTGACCTTAATCTCCCATTGGCGAAGGATATGTCTTCGGATTAATCCAAAGCATAATCTCATCGCGAGAATTTGGTTGACTCTAGTCGGCGCTTTTACAAAAAAAGGAATAATCACCCGGAAAAAAATCATTCTACAGTTAGAGTACATTTTATTCGTAGAAAACTACTAAATAGTGAACCAATAGAAACTAAAACTAAATTCGAAAAATTGTTTCCCTTCAAAATAGAATTGTTATTAATGATAATTTTTATTATTCGACAGTTTGGCGGCAGTTGGCAGTGGAAATGGAGCCGGTGGTGGTGAGCAGGGTAAAAAGAAAGCCAACAATGGCGATCATGGAATTTCCGGTGATCCAAGTAGTACAAGTACGGGAAATAAGCATGATGGATTGGATGGTATTGACGTTGATGGCGAGTACTGCAATTTAGATGAAATTCGATCGTGGGGTTCGTCATTTGATAAGCTTATGAGGAGTTCAGGTGGTAGAAGACTCTTCCGTGAATTTCTTCTCAGCGAATATAGCGAGGAAAATATCGCCTTTTGGCTCGCATGCGAGCAGCTCAAACGCGAGACCAATTCCGAGAGAATCGAAGAAAAGGCCCGCTTAATATACGAGGACTACATATCGATACTCTCCGCGAAGGAAGTAAGTTGACCCTTTTTATTTCAAGTAGAAGAAGTAAATAATTATTTCAAATAAGATGTTCATAAAAACTTGAAAAAGACAAAATAATCAAGAACCTCCAATTCAGTTCTTAAACAAAAACTGGTTTTTTGAAAATACTTGCTAAAATCCTTTTGAGTAACTAAACGCTCTTCAGATGACTTAGTTTCTTTTAGATGACAATTCTTTTTGATGACCTAATTCTGTTTAGATGACTTAATTCCTTCACATGTAATTTCTTTTAGATGACATCATTCCCTTTAAATAAGAAAAACCCGTCGAGATGAAAAATTTCCCTTTAGAGTTGTCATCTAAGTCGTAAGTTATTGCCCGAGCCTTTAAGTCTATTTGCAGAATAGTCAGTTTACCTAGAAACCTGTCCTTCTCGAAATGTCCAGGATTTCCTCCATCGATAGGTTGCTAATCCGCTCTGGGTCAATAGGAGCTTGACCTCGGCTAAAGTGTCTGACTCCTGCAAACGTTAGGAATTTGCATAAAATTCAACTCCATAACTTACCACTGACCATACTAACACATCAAATAATCAAATGCTCTTTCTCTGGACATTCCTAAAGATTTTTTCTCTTCTCCCTACACCTGACCTATTACCTTCCCTGCACTTTCCACTTTTTCATTGACATTCATCCGGTTCTCTCCTTTTTATTGAATACGAATACCCCAGATAGCAGGACACATCCACTTCTCTTATTTCTTTCTCTTCCTTCTCCTATCCTAAATCTTAATATCATTGTTTGAATTTTATCATCCGGAGGGAATTCGGTCATCTGGAAGGAATTCAGCAAGAATTGTAGTAAACGAAGATTTTACAAGATGGTAATTACCTTAAGTACCTTACCTTCTTTAGTAAAATCTTCGTTATCAGATTTTCTTTTTCAGATTTTCATGAAACTTTTTGAATTTATATTACGTCACCAACACCAGAAAATGAATTCTTACCATCTTTCTCTTGTCTTGCGCGGAAAAGTTTTCGGGAGAGCTTCTCTATTTGCTATATAGTGACGCTTGCACCACTTTGGCTGTTGAGAGAAATTTTGCTCCCTATGGGAAATTAGCGCTAGGAACAAATTTTCCGTGATGATTACCGCTCTTCGAGATTAGCCATCAGCAGATTAGAAATAATTGGACTTAATAGGCAATCATCTTTTGTATACCGTGTCAGAAGTCTTTACCTAACTCTTCCTCTCTATCTATATACTTTCTCCCTCGTATCCTCAATTCCTTAAATCTCCTAATCAATTCCTCTTCCACTTTCCACCCAGAGGAACTTTCTATTTTTCCCTCTCATTTGATGTAAGAGTGTCAGTTTTCTCCAGTTTCCAGGACATTTTATTAGGGATAGTAATGTAGCAGACGAATTAGCAAAAAATGGGACTCCAAAGTCGTCTTTGGGAATTCGAGAAGATTCTAACTTAACTTTGTGACTTAATCAAGATACTATGATGATAAAATGCTTAAGTAAATCTTGATGCTTTTGTGATAATGAAGATTCTCAACCCTCTGCCTATACACACTTGACCGTTATCGACAACAACTGACAATTCGGTTGAAAATTTGATTCATAAAGGCTAGAATGGGGATAAGTCAGTGTAGGCAGAGGGTTGAGATACTAGTAATTCTTGATGCTTTAAGATAATTACGATTCTTGGTGCTTCAAGTTAATTATGACTTTTGATAATTTAGGAATCACATATATGATTGTTGACGCCTAAAGATAATGATGATTTTTGATAATTTGGGTAGCATCTGATTGTTGCTGCTTTTAGATAATGATGATTCTTGATTTTGTAGGCACCCTCTCATAATTATTAGAAGACTATGAATAAAAAATTTCTGATTTCTTTACTAACTGCACTAAGAAGTATTAAACCCCCCTTTCTTAAGTTCATCAAATTGCAAGACTTGGTCTTTCACCTCTGCCTCACTATATATTCTTTTTCTAAGTTTCCATTTTTTGTAGCATTATTTTGCTTCCCCTAATTAGAGACTGGCACTTTACATTTCTAGTTCTCCTTACAAAAAACTTAACTCAGGTTTTGTCGACATAAAAATTCCTGGCCCAGAGAAAGTAAATTATTCCACAAATTGCGCACAAATTTATTTTTGATTATTTCTTTAAATTTTCGTAAATTATAAAAGTGTAATCGAACTTTTAGTAAGTAAGTCCAAATCAGTTATAAAAGTACGTGTAATCGAACTTTTAGTAAGTAAGTCCAAATCAGTCTTGTATCAGTCGTGCCTGGTCGCTTGTATTTCTAAAGTGTTTGTCTGAAACTTTTTTATCTTTAAATTGATTTCTACTTACAAAGTTTAATCCAGAAAATTAATTTTCACCTGACGGATAAATTTGTCCATTTAAATTTACTTTTTTTTTTTGTTAAAAGCATGAAATTTTGATTGACATAAAGAATTTATATTCTATTCAAAAAGCCACATTTTTTCTAATTTGCTACCAAGATAATTATTTAAAAAAAGAAACAGATTGTTGCAAGACGATTAAAAATTAATTTGATCTAGAGTCTATAGAAAGGGTTTTTCAAAACATAATTAAAGATATTCATAAAAATCTGAAAAAGACAAAAATAAATTAAAAGTGGTATAAATAAGAAGAATAATATAAAAAAGTAATATAGCAAAGTAATAAAAAGCAAAACGAAAAAGTAAGGAAAAGAATAAAAAACGAGAGAAAGGAATGAAAATATTTTTTTTTTTATAAAAAGTGTATGAATGTTAAAATATAACTGAAATTAAAAAAAACTTAAAATTGAGTTAAAAGTTGATAAGTTCGAGATTCAAAGTACTGTCAGGTTTGACACACATTCGCAAACAAGAACGATAATGGAATTGAAGAAGAATGCCCTAAAAGCATGATGTTCCAATGTGCACTCTTGTGCCTCTTCTCTACTTCTTCTAACACTACGTATATATGTACATAGGGACAAAAAAAAGTGAAATTCGATTTTGCCTAGATGGCTCTACTCTAATGCATACATATTTTTTCTTATACTAAAAAAAATATTTATTTACTTTTATCTTAAAATGAAAAAATATTTAATTTTTCTTCATAATAAAAAAGGTTTTTTCATTTTTTCTTATAATTATCATAATATTAATTTTTTATCTTTCTCACATTTTCAAGAAGTTTCTTTTATAATTAAACTATTTATTTTTTGTCTTTTCAGATTTTTAAAAAAAATCTTTTTTATAATTGAAATATTTATTTTTTTGTCTTTTCAGTTTTTCAAGAAATATCTTTTTTATAATTAAAAATATATTTATTTTGTTTTCATTTCAATTTTTCAAGAAGTAGATACCTTTTTATAATAAAAAACATTTTTTTTTGTCTTTTCAGTTTCTCAAAAATACCTTTTTATAATTAAAAACATTTTTTTTTGTCTTTTCAGTTTTTCAAGAAATACCTTTTATTACAATTTAAAAGAATTATTTATTGTCTTTTTCAGATTTTTATAAATTTCTTTTTTCTGGAATGGTTTTTTTAATATTTTAAAGATACTGTAAAACAATGTTAAGTATTTTTTTAAAATTTTCTAATTATCTAAATTTTTCCTTCTAGGTGAGTTTGGATTCGCGGGTGCGCGAAATCGTGAACCGTAATATGGTGGAGCCAACGCCTCAAACGTTCGACGAGGCACAACTACAAATTTACACTCTGATGCATCGTGACTCTTATCCACGTTTCGTCAACAGTGAAATTTACAGGCGAACAGCGAGACTCGGCAGCGGGCCACCCAGTCCAACGGGAACCGAGCAAGAACACACAAACGTCACCGGGAAGTCAAAGTCAAAAAAATCGACGACGTAATCTTGCTCGTCCAAGAGAGAAAAAGAAATTTGGTAAATTACCTTCTACTAATTTAAAAAAAAAAAAAAAAGAAAAACGTTTTATTAAAAAAAAATATTTTCTTCTCCAGAAATCAAGGTGCTTGTGATTATCGTCGCTGCCGTCGCGTCGATTCCGCACACGAAATTGTTGGAGTCGTCTCGAAAAATAAAATAAAAAAAAATAGGTTAACAATGGTCTTCCAAGCGAAGCCACGGGGCCATGAAATAAAATAAAAGAAAAACAAATCACGTTATGAAAAAAAGAAATACTAAACACGCTGCGACTAATAGTGAAAATATTTATTAAAGAAAATAAATATCCAAATAATTACGGACTTGGAATTTAAAATAAAAAATTTATCGAAAAAAGCGTTAGGAAAAACAATTTGCAGTCCCGGGGATATGCGTCGTCATATTTATTTTATATTCTAGAATATGAAAATTGTCTGCGATTAGAGAAAGGACGAGTTTCGTTTCTCGACCAATTACAGTGAGCGTCACTCCCACTCCTCAGCGTTGGGAACCAATCACAGTGAGCGTCACTCCCACTCCTTCGTCTCGGGAACCAATCACAGCGAGCGTCACCCCCTCTCCTTTGCCTAGTGTACCAATCACCACACGTCACCCCCACTCCTCCGTTCCACAGAACCAATCACCGCAAATCATTTCTCACATATCCTCTCAATTTGAAACGAAACTGGTTTTATTCTTTATTCGTTAATATTTCAACGCGTCATTTTATTTCCTATTTTCCTTTGCGGAGAAGTTTGCATGAGTCGACTAAGTTTCTGATTATAAATATCGAAATATGACCACTTTTTTTTAAGGTGGTGATTTAAAAAATAATTCCTAGACATGAAATTAAAAAAAAAGAAGCTGAAGATACCAATGATAAATGTAGATACTGTTTTTTCAATCCTTGTTCACTTTTCTATAAGGATTTTTTATGTGTAAAAAAATTGTTAAATCAGAAGGAATTTCCTTGAACTGCTTAAAATTTAGCAGTTGCTTTAAGTAAAAATAAATATATAGTAAAAAAATGTACAAGGAAAGAGAAGGAATTTTTACCCCTCTTTCTGTATAAGCTATAGATTATTTATTTATTAGTTTTAATACCTAGTCGCTTTATTCTAAAAAATAGAATAATGTAAAATAATACATTTTTTTCCATGGAAAAAAATCTATTAAAGTAGTTAGCGAACTAGCGTCAATAATTCTTATTCTGCGATTATACAGTGAAGAACGATACGACGCTAGTTCTGCTTATTTATTATTTCAAAAAATTAATTTATTTATTATATAATTAGCAATAAAATTTTTCAAATTTGAAAATTTTAAGACACTTTGAGATTAAATAATTAAAATAAAGTTGAAAATCTGCTACAAATCTTTGTATTTACAATACAATAAAATAAGAATGTATTTGCGATAAAAAAATGTGTTCGAGCTAATTAATAAGTTACTGGATATTAAGCAAAAAAAAAAAACTGTGTACAGTTAGTCGAGTCGATCGAACAGCTTTGTTGGTCTGAAAAATTGACAAAAAGAAAAATATTCGTCAAAGATTTTTTTTAAAACTGGTTATAAACTGTATTAAAATTAAGCAGTTTATTTTTCATGAAAGTAAAAGTATATAAAAAAATTATTTTTTTTGTGAGACTTCAAATAGTTTTTAAAAATTAAATACTTATGAATATTTAATTAGTATGTATTTATAAATATTTATTTATTTAACATTTCTAAATATTTTTTTAAGTGTTTTAAATATTTATAATCATTTCCAACTATTTACAAATGTTTTTGAGTATTTATGAACATTTCTAAATATTTCTAAAGGTTTTTAAATATTTCTAAACATTTCTAAATATTTATAAATATTTCTAAACATTTCTAATTATGTTCTCCAAATGATTAAATAATTAAAAAAAGATTTTCGGTTTCAAAATTAATTTTTGTTTCCAAGTAAATACTAACTGTTAAAATCTACTATTACTTTAAATAAAAAACTTATTTATTTTAAGTAATGAATTTGTTTGTTGTAATTAGAGAATTTATTTAAAATATAAAATTTGTTTATTTCAATTAAAAAATTTATTTTAATTAAAGAATTTATTAATTTTTGACATTAAATTAAAATTAAAACTTTAATTGAAAATTCTATTTATTAAGTTTAAAAAAAAGTCTATTATTTACTATAATTAGAAGAATTATTTATTACAATTTGGATTTAAAAATGTTTTATCACATTTAATTGAAGAGCAATTTGTTAATTTAAAAAAAATTATTAATATTGTGTAAATTCCGAGAATATTATAAAAATTTGATAAAATAAAAATCAAGTTTTTGGTTGACCAAAGAAAAAAATATTTTATCAATGTTGTACGGATGCGTCGTATAAAAAAAAATTCAATGTAAGTTATACCGTTACAATTTTATTAATTAAGAATATTATAACACTATACCTTTTCTCTGTGATATCGCATAATGTGAAATAGTCGTTAATCGGTGTGATACTTCTTGAAAATAGAAAAAAGAAAAAAAAACGAAAGAAGACAAGAGTGGAATGTGACGATCTCAGGTTACTAACATTTTTTTTATTTTTGTTACCCTGTTTTTACTATTTTATCCCGGGCTTCGAAATATTCTCATATTTACCTCAATTAGTATAAATTTACTGTAAAAAAATTTTTTTTGCTGTAAAATGGATTTTCTTTACGATTGCGTAAATATTTTGATAGGTTATTATTATTGTGAAAATTTTTTATTATTGTATTGTAATTTTTTTCTTATACTTTCTAAATTAGTTTTTGTAAAGAAATAATTTTTGTTTGACAAGAATGTGAGTTTTTATAAAAAATTATAGTTTTCGGCGACTAGTGGCCGTCAGTAGTTTATAAGAAAGTTGCGCACGCCGCTTGGAGTGGTGGAAGCGAAGACCAATCAACGCGCGTTATATCCCCGATTCCAAGCGGCGCGCGCAACCGAAAGTGACGCTCCAAACTTTATAAAAAAAACTAGTTCGCATTCCCTTTCATTTTCCAACCCATTTTCTTTATATTTTCTACTTATTTTTCTACAGTATTACCTTAAAATAATTACAAAAATTAATTATACAAAAAAATACACTATTTTATAAATATTTTTTAATCAAATGAAGAGAAACATTTTTTTTCCTCCTTGAAAAGAGAAAAAAAAAGCTATGACGCACAATCTCATTAAGTTGACGCACAAAAAAATAAAAGAGCGCATAAAAAACAATTTATTTTCCCCACATCTTTTTGTTTCCTTTTTTTCGAAGTCCGATTGCTATATGATAATGATAACTATTATTAACTCTATACAATAGTGATATATATATATAAATAAATATGAGACAAAAAAAAATTTTGCGATAAACGCGTAAGAACGAGTATTATAATAGACGACGCAGAATCCCCGATTTGGTGTAAAAGAAAGAAAAGGACAAAAATAAAATACACTATTTATACCAATATATATATTGTACTGCCACGAGAAAAAAAATGCGACGCATCAATATATTATTGAATGACGCTATACAATTTAAAAAAAAAGTAAATAATGACCAGACGAGTTTTTACCACAGCACACAAACAATAATATAAAAAAGGGGCACCACGTATAGAAATAAATTTTTTTTCGTGGTCCTAGGAATGGCCTAAGCCCTCTAAAAAAAAAAAATGAAAACTAAACCGAAAACAATAAATCATGAAAAATGCAAAAAAAAAAATAGAAAACTCACGATTTAATATTATTATTAAAAAAAAGTAAATAAATATATTATATAAATATAATCGAGCCGCGAAATTCGCTCGTCAAAAAAAAAAAAAACGTCGCTGAATGACATTCAATAAAATGGTTGTAAAACACAAGGCTAATAAATAAAAAGAAAATGAACAAAAAAAATCTTAAATAAATAATTTCGTGCGTGAAGCCATGAAAAAAATTAATTATTGAAACTTTGAACAAAACAGAAAAAAATTATGCGATGACGAAATTGAAATGAAAAATAAGGTGAGAAAATGTGTGTGTGGAAGAAAAAAAGAGAGAGAGAGACAAAATGAGAGAAAAAATATCTTAAGAGCGTTTGAAATGTGTGCTTGTGAGAATAAATGCTTTTAATGTAAAATTGAGCTGCAATTCCCCGCAGAATCACGATTCGGCACAAATAAAATAAAATAGCACAGTCAGTCACAATGTTTGGCTACTGCCTTTGTAGATATAGATAGGTGTTATTATTACTATTTTTTAAATATTATTTTTGTTTTTATTATCATTTTTCATTACTATTTTATTATTTTTACTATTATTATTATTATTATTATTATTATTATTATTATTATTATTATTATTATTATTATTATTATTATTATTATTATTATTATTATTATTATTATTATTATTATTATTATTATTATTATTATTATTATTATTATTATTATTATTATTATTATTATTATTATTATTATTAACAATTCTCACTCTTTTCCTAAGCATTATCTTTATTTTTTTTATAATCATTATTATCATCATTGTTATAATCATTACGAATATATTTGTTAATATCATTATAATTATTATTGTTATTCTTATTATTACTTTATTGGTAATTTTTAAAAAGTTTTATTAATAGGGCCCAGACTAGAGGCTTATAAAGTTGATTATTCATCATTGTCGCAAAAAAAATGACAAATAAATGTTTCTGCGCATATAAGATTCGCACTCGATTAAAAATAAATGCCAGTGGCCTGGTGGTAAAGTACCTACTCGTTGTGTCGAATTATTATTCAGTGTTGAATTCTTACCAATTTCATTTTTTTTTTTTTGCTATTTTAATGTTTTCAATTGAATTAAAATTATTTTAAATATTAATTATTTTTAATGTTATTATTATTCATATTATTAATAATAATATTATTATTTATTATTTAATTTTAATAAATTAAAACTCTAAATATAAAAGTAAAAGAGTTAGTTTAAAATGAAAAGTAAGAAAATAGGATTGAAATAAAATATTTTATTGTGCAAATAATTTATTTAAAAGTTATTAAAATTTATTTATTTGAATATAAAATGGACTTACCGCGAGGCCATTGCGATGTTTCTTTTTTAAAATTCAATATTTGAAAAAATTGCACTAATCTGGACTTTTATTATTTTTTTCAGTTTCATTTTCAGTTAGTATTATTACTATTCGGCAACCGAAAACAGAGAAAATCGTTGAGAAAATTTTTAAAAAGGATATATGATTATATTATAACATATAATAAATGTATCATACACGTACTCATCACACTGCGACGTGCGACACCTAATATATGGAAACAAGAACAACAATAACAACAACAACAACAACTACAACAACAACTACTACTACTACTGCTACTACTACTAATACTACTACTTCTTCTTCTACTACTACAAGTACAACAAGAACAAAACAACAACAACTACAACAGCTACAATAAAAACAACACGTATTGCATTTACGCCAAATTTGTAATAAAAATGGCTAACAAAATGTTACATATATATTTACTTATATAGATGTTTATGGGAAATAAAAAATTTTTTTTTCATCATTTTAGTTGCACTTTACTATTTCTAAAAAATTATTTATTTTTGTGTATTAAGAAAAATTCACTGACTGGCGTAATTTTATTCAAAACTAGAAATTATTTCTTTCTTCATTAAATACTTTTAATTAATAGTAGTTTATATTTTAATTAATTTTTATAATAAATAGTTTCGATAAATATTTTAATCATTATTAATTATTATAATTTATAATAATTAATATAGTTTTAATTCTGTTTATTATAAGTAATTTAGCAATTAATTTTAGTTATAATAAACATGCCAATAATTATTATAATTTTAATCATTATAATAATTTAATTTCTATTATAATTATTACCTATATTAATTTTAATTATTATAAATTAATAAATATCAGTTAATCCTATAATTACAGAAGCCTGCAAAAAAATAAAAATTTCCGTTGTCTGAGATCGAGAAGTCATTTCCCGCAGTATTTGGTGCGCTGAATCCGAATCTGGCAACGAAAACCTCCCATCACGTCAGGATTTTGAGAAAAGTGGGAGTAAATTCCCAAAAATCATGTTTTTCACTGTTTTTGTAAATTTCTATCGGGTAAATCCGACGTGCTAGAGACTTGTCATAGGAGTCAAATTAAAGCCTGAACCCTGTACTTTAAGAAAATAAAGCGATATTGCTGACAACAAACTAAATCAGCCGTCAAAAATGATTTTTTTAACAGTGGGCAATCATAAAAATTGACTGACACAGTCCGTAAATACAACTATTTAAAAAAATGATTGGATTCGCTTAGAATTTATTGCTTTGGGGTTTTCGGGGTCGTTGCTCACAAGTATGATGTCAAAATAAAAAATCTGTAGTTGGATTCATAATCAACGACCCCAAAAGCTCCCGAGTAACAAGTTTCAAGTGAATTTGATCAATTCTGAAAAATAAGTCCGCCATATTGTATCCGACATTTTGAATTCTAATAATCTGACAACATATTAGTAATCAGCGACCCCAAAACGCCCTGAGTAACAAATTTTAAGCGAATTCAATCATTTTTCAAATAGTTTTATTTACGGACAG